TTAGCCGGAGGCTGGTCGCCACATCCTCGAGGTGGGTTCGCAAGCGATCGGAACCTCTTTGTTCGAACCGGTAAAGTCAACATCTTGAGGGCTCTCGACATTGCGGTTGGGGGTTGTGTCCCTTGGAGCCATCTATTTACAGTCTAGACGTGAATTTTGTGGATGTCACCCAAGAAGGACCCGGGACCCAAGAGCAAAATGGGGCTGAACTGGAGACTTGCATCTTGCACCCTGAGTGCGGCGCCAGCACGGTGCCACCGTGCACCCGCGGATCACTGCCGGCCTGCCCCAAAACGCCCAGACATACCCCAGCAAAGTTGAAAAGGAACAAGGGCGACGTTCAAACCTCCCATCTTTGCGGCACTTTGGATCGCTTGTTTGAGTGTTTCCAACTTATCGGCCCTGGGTGGCCTCCTTTTGTCCAGCTAAACTCCGCTCAAAAGGGCTGGGGCCCCACGTGTTTGCGCGCGCGCCAGGACGAAAAATCCGCCACCCGACCGCCGCGTCTGGCTGGCTGGGGCCCCCACTGCACCCCAAGTGGGCGCCAAGATCTCGTGGTCCTCGCAGCCCAACGGGTCAGGGGCACAAAACAACTAAACAAATAAACAAATAAATAACTGAATAAAAAAACAAATAAACAAGAAAATGTTTCCCCTTTCAACTCCCGGAGTTGGTGGCTTGGATTGGTGGTTTGGTGATTTGAACCGCTTGTGAAGCCAAATGAAGGCATCCCCTAACGTCCAAACCATAATTCCAAACCACCAACTAACAGGGATCCCTCCATTTCCTTTCTTGGAACCACCAAAAGCTCTCACTACTCGCCTCAGCCTGCAGGGACCTCGCTCTCCCTTCTGTGCCTTTGGGTGCCTTGCCCTAGGCAACGAGTGCAATAGCTTCTGTATGCAGTGTGGTGTCGATCCACCTCTGACACTGATTACATTCCAGTCGTGCTTCCATACGTGTGCATTTGGCCGGATGGCCGCGGGGGCCGTGTCATGCCTGTCCCCTTGGCGTTCTCTCTGTCACTCTTTGACATCTGGCCTTGTCGGCCATCACTTGATTGACAGTTCTCTGGCTTGCCTTGCCGCTTTGTTAGCACTATCCATATAGTGCCGTTATGCACCAATGTGACGGTGTATATGTGTGAGAACGGCGCAGCGCCGCCCTCGGCGACACCAGGTGATGCCTGTGCGCTGCAATAATTCGTGCATGTTTCATTTTGCTTGGCCACTGCCAGTGGTCCCTTTTGCCCGTGAGAGACTTTTAATTTCTCTCTTTGCTCTGCATGGCGACCTTTCTTGCGCTCTACTTGCGCATGTTGCTTATCCGCATGGCCATTCATGGGGGTTAACGATGCGCAAATGTGACCCCCGGCGGATTTTAGCGCGCATTGCTGATCCATTTGCTCGCCTTTTTCATTACCTTTGGGCTCAATGTAGTTCAGTTCCCGATTTTGTTCGATTGAGCTGCGGATTTTCGTTCTCCATCATCTTCGGGGCTAAGCTCTTCGTTGTCGCTTGTGTTTTGCGTGTTTGGTCCCTGTCGGTTCGGTTCGTTGCTTCGCTGTCTCTTTGTGTGTGCTTCGGCTGTTACAGTTTAGTCTGGATGATGATTCTGTGTCTCACATGTTTCACCACTTTCTGTATGATGTACGTCATGTTTCGTGACCGATGGCAATTGCCCCAAGGCGCGCTGGTGACAAACAAAAAATATTGGAACCACCAAAAGCGATCGTTTCAGTGGAAACCACCAGTGAATTGATCAACTTTGATTTTGGGAAATCCAGTCCCCTGTGGGATCGCCGATTTCCCCCAAACCTTGCACAAATGCGACAGATTCCATGATCGGATTTCGCGGCTTGGGGGCAAATGTGTGCTCGGAATTTGTGGCTTGCAATTTGTTCACGGCAGCTTTGAGTACTGCAGCTCAGCCTGGAAGAACAAGCATTTCCCCTCTGGCATGGAAATGCACCAACCCCTCTTGTAGAAATTCATGTTAGCCTGTATGAGCTGGGGTGTATGAGGAGAAACTAAGCACCCGGGGAATAGCACCCCGCTCGCGAAGCCATGGTCGGCTCGGCGGCCAAAGCTCGAACCGTGTCATGGTCAAGCCTTCTGGGGTGGCCATGGTTCCTCGACCCGGGACCCTTGGCAATTGTCTTAGTCCAAGGGGTCCACACCACCCTTACCGCCAAGACAAAGGGTGTCAAGACCAAGCACCTCCGCATTTTTGTACAGATTGATTTTCCACTCAGGAAGTGTCAGCCCGTGCCTTGCTGAGTGATGCTGCAACATACAGACTTAGCGATTTTTCCTTGGGCCTATACAATGTGTTGAAAGGAGGCAACCGGCAATCCGGTTCAGCTGTTTCCAAGTAATTTTGTACAGGCCGTTGGCATGGTTTTAGGCAGTACAGAACACACGAAACAGGGGCTAGCCACACAAACCAGCATCACAGTGAGTATGTCTGAAGGGAGGTTCGTGGGCCATACCATGGCTCATACGATTTTGCCTGGAGATTGTGCATGTCAACCTGCACCGATGGCAAAAAAGAAGAACACGCAAATTCAACGGTGGAATTCAGCCGCCCAAGCCGCCATTTTCCCACCAACACTCTGATTTTGCTGCTGGCGCCCCTGCCCAGGTTGGGACTTTGGCAAGTCCAAAAAGAGGAAGCGCCCCCTTTGTGTTGGTTGGGTTACACCTTTGTGTCAGGACATCCAAGCCCGTGTTCAGGTAAAAAGTACCTCCTGCCTTCAAGATCTTTCAATCCTCCTTTTTGGCTCGCGGCCTCCGAAACTCCTGCCGCGCCCGCTGGTTTCCCTTCTTGGGACCCGCTACTTGAGCCAACAAGTTGGCCGCAAATGGGTTGTCAATACTTTGCGGGGAACTCAGCAGGTGCCGAACCATGGGCCAAGTGCTTTGTACATTGAGATGCCATGCCCACAGAGGCGTGCGAAGCGCCGCCAGAGCGCCGCGCTCAAGCTCAAGCTCAAAGCGGCAAGGGCCTGATCAGATTCTCAGATCTCCAAACGGTGGATGCCAACCAATACTGCAAGGCAACGATGGGAACCCTGTGAAATCAACCATGGTTTGGGATTGATTTACTTGCAACATCTCGCGGGCATCACCGAAGCTCGGAGTTCATTTTGCCGGTGGGAACCTACTAGCTTCCATTTTCGCCACACATCCCACTCAAGACTTGACATTTCATGATATGTAGTGACCCATCCAGGGCCTCCTTCAACAAATTATTGGGGTGGGGTGGACAACAGGAAACATGTAGAATCTGATTAAGGATCATGTTGGGCCTGCTCAAGTCCAAGTAGTCTCCCATGCTGTTGTGCATTTGCTTAGTATTGCGCCCCTGTTACTTGCAGTCAAACGAACCACTAGGACTTGCTCACCCCGCTCAGGTTGGGAAATCATCCTACAACTTTTCTCCACTCCATTCCTTTCTTCGTAGCTCTCCGCGGGCCATGTAGGGACATCTTCTGCGTGCGTGCCAAGGCTTGCCGTTTGCATCCCGGTTTCCCGGCCTAGGCATTCATGCCAGGAATGGATGGCCCCACATCCAGGTCCAAGTCCACGTCCAGGTCGGCATCCTCCCAGGTATTCTCCACCTCGAAGTAGGCATCGCCCGCGTGCTCTTTCCTCACTTAGTCACTTGCTCAAGGCGCCTGGAAAAAATGTGAAACATTAATCATTTCAATGAAGCCTGAGTAATTATAGGCCGAACATAGGAAACCAACAGGTTGAAAGAAGTCGGCTCGCTTTGGGCAAGCGAGTTTCAAGAAGTCAGTGATGAAGGTGGCTTCCTGCTGACCAATGCCGTGATCCAAACCTGCACAGCGCAAAGAGGTCATGACGGTCATGACCCGCAGGGCTCAGAAAATGCCGTGGACAAACTCCTTCGACATGTCCCGTTCAGGATGCAGAACCGTGCTTCTCTCGTGGAGAAGGCTTTTGAAGCGAGTTTGCTGAACAAACCCGGCGGAACTTCCCGCAAGAGCCTCCCCACACATGGAACATAGGCCTTGTGACAAAGGTTCCCATCCCCCTGCCTCAAGCGGTCTTTGGTTGCCCCCAACACCCTCACCTTCGATAACTGGAGCGATGTTATTGCGGGCACCTCAAATTCTAAGATAAATTCTGGTACAGAGGTCCTCGTGCTTTGGGCTTCCTTTTGGCACGTTTGACCCCAGGTGTGTGCTTTTTGCCCGGAATTCTTCAGGTCCGCTCTTTTCCAATAAGCCGCTCAAGTAAAGCTTGGGCATGGGCATAGACTGGACTGACAGGACCCAGATCCAGTCGACGTGTTGGCTTCTCCGCTTGTTTCAAGAGCCATCTCGACAAGCCTGAGCCGTGCAGCAACTGCCACTCATGGGGAAACCAGAACATGCAACCATGGAAACAAGAACCAACCATGTACAAATGGTGGGAAACCCAACAACAAATTCGCACGCATGGCCATCTTGATAGACAATTGCAGTCCGAGTATTAACATGGCGACACCATGTGAATGGACCCTTGATCTTACAGATTTGCCAACAGAGGGTTCATTTCAAGTCATTCGGCCATGGGTCAAAATCCCGTACCCCCAGTGAACATCCCAATCCCCACAGAAATAGGTTCTAAAATGGGTGGTGCACCTACCCTAAAATTGTACCATTGGTTTTGACCCACAGCCATTCAACTTTCTATCCCCGCCTCCAGTCACACCACCGGGGGCGGAGGGGTGGTATGCGCAGTCAACTCCTTGGAGCCTCCCGCCTTCCAAGCACTTCAGCCGGAGGCCTGTCCAGCCCTGGGCGCGCCGCAGCGAGGCCTTGACCTCGGGAGCCGAAGGCGGCGGATCTGGGTGAATTACAATATTTCACCAAGCTCATGAAGTAAGGTTGGGGGGCTATTCCCCACATAAACCAGCATTTGGGGAGGTCGTGTGAGGTGGTTATAATATAATTCACCCAGTGCGGATGGGATGGACTGAACATCGGGTGTGGACAGCAGTTGCCGAGCTTTAGAAGTGGGCTTGTCGCAGCGGTTCATCCAAACTGCCGGATCTGCAAACCAACGGGTCACGAACGGGGGTCCCCTTCCCTCACGCCCTAAGGCCCTGAGCCTTGTTTTGGTTGGGGAGAAAGTTGGAGGTTGGATATGGACCCAAACACGCAGCCCTTCAGAAGCCCCCAAGCTGCACCTAGTAACCTGCGCATATTGGTGCGTGTGTGTGTGTGTGTGACACCACCTAGTGGCCTCTCTTCAAAATGTGTCCAGAAATCGGGGGTGCACCCTTTTTGAGACGCTCGCATCATGCAAGGGGGCATGTGCAATGGGCGTTTGCACCAAGAAAAGCCCACAACAAAACAGGAAAAAATGCTAGCGCTGAGGGGCTCAAACCTTCACTTTCTGCATAGTCTCATTCCGTGACTGGCACGGAAACTCACACATTGAATGATTGTGCTATCCGAGCCCAGCTCTATTTGCCATGTTAACCGTCTTAAAGGGCTCTTGGCGATGGTTTCTCAGATTCAATCACTCTCAGTTTCCATTTCCGAGGG